ACCAATGACAAGATCAGAGCACAAGATAGGAGTGGGTGTAGCTGAAAGCGTGAGGATTCTTTCCTAAACCACAAGGGACTATCATTTCAATGATATATTTCTAGCCAAACCATATACCACAGTTTAACAAGCAACAGAACCCTCTAGGTTGTCACAGTGTGTGAAAATATTCTACCATTTGTCATATTTCAATTTCATGTTAATCTTGAATCATCCTCACAGAAACTCCCTCATAACTCAAAGGAAAAACCTAGAATGACAGTAGAAAGATTACTTTGCCCAAGCACTGCTGAAAAGCAGTAGGGTTCATGCTGTGAGTTGTGGTAAAGCACATTGTTTATCTTTTCACTAACACGGGAAAACAAAAGGGCAATGATTGGTACAAAACCTGTGAAGCTCTTGCTCCCTTCCTGGGAAAGGTTAGGTCTATATACTGAAACCTCTCTGGAATCACTGCAGTATTCCTAACACCACTCAGAATTCACACACAGTAGCCTTTTATATGTTCAAAATCCTGTGCAGGTCTGAGTTGAAAAATCCTCAGAACTCTCTGGCAAAATGTGCCATTTTCAAGTGTTTGCTCATTTCAGAGACCAGAGAAGAAGCAGCACTATGTCAGAATAAAAGATCATGGCAGTGATTTTACTTGCCAGAATGATTCAGGGATATGCACAGGAGGCTGTGAAGCATGCTCGGTTGTGGGGGTTCTTTAAGTGGCCAGAACACGGTAGCTAACTGGAAGCAGCTTTAACTCTTAATAAGCTGCCTCAGACCACAGCATATGCTGGTCCTGGCCAGATAGAAGAATGTGGATTTATTCTTTATATAACAAAAGTAAAGGAACTAGAATTCACAAGCATAAACAGGAAAATATGAAAAAGCCTGTTTATCAGAAGCTGTCACCATTGCACCATGTTGAAAAAAGCTCTACATGAAAGAGGAAAAAAACACAAACTATGCTAAGAAAATGTTAAAAAAAAAAACTAAAAAAAAAAAACCAACAAACCACAAAACAAAATTAAAAAAAAAACAAGTTAGATCAGAATTCAGATGTCCACCATTTCCAGAACCAACCCAAAGACACCTCATGCTCTGCAAACACAATTAAGGACTCGGCATCAGCAGCCACTTTTAAAATAAGCCCAGGCCTGTCTTAACAAGTGAATTTTTACTGCTCTGCAAACTTTACTAAAGTGGATTAATTTGGCTTAGAACTGAATTAAATCCCACTGAAGACGATTGATCTGAAACAATGACCTTTCACTGTAGAACATGACATGAAAGACTTTGGGGATAAGACTAATGAAGTACAGAGATAAAACAAAATGCTTCTACCAACAGTTTCAAAAGCGGCCTCTTATTCTGGGTGCCCTACTTGAGTTGCTGTGTAAGTGCTTATCTCCTTTGAAAACTAGGCCCCAAGCAAGTTGAGCCAAGCATCCAGAACAGGAGACTGCCTGAAAATACTGGCCTTGAAGATGGATCTCCTAATGTTTGTCCTGAGTGGTTCTCAGATATGCCCATTAGTTCTGTGATAGCCAGAGGAATCACCAAGGGGACTTAGAGCAGGGAAACTGCTTCTCATGCCATTAATCCTCACTAGTGCTGTAGTGGATTAGTTCAGCCATTTCTACAACACACTTCCTACTACTGATAGGCTAGAACAGCTCAGTCTCTGACCTTGCCAGTCTTCGGGCTGTCTGTCAAAATGCCAAGAGGAAAGCCACCTCTAGACAGCAGTGCTGAAAAGTTCAGATGCCTGCCTATTGGGAAAGCGTCCTTCTCACCTCCGGGACAGCCAAGTAATAGAACTGCTGAAAGTGCTCCTAGATTTCCATCCCTTCTGTGATCAATTCACACATATAAGCATTGTTCTTTGGGCACTTACATGCATTTTAAGATAAAAATGACTTTGTTTTTTTTTCTATTTAGGGCAAGCTCCTTCATTTGATAGGCCATGCCATGCTGAGGAAGACATTGTCATTCGACAACAGCATGCAGAGCACATTCAGCTCAGGGCAGGTCAGCCACGTGCTCAGAGTGCTTCTAAATACAGCTCCAAGGAAGAGCAACATAAACACACCCAGAGCTTGCTACATATGGTAGGACAGGGACACCAGAACATGATGGGGATGCAAATCACACCCAGGAGAAAAGAACAAGGCAAGACACAAACTGAACAATTCAAATGCTAGCCCAATGTGAATACAGTATAAACAACTCCACTACACTGTCTTCATAGACTAACTCCACACAGCAGCACAGGCAGAGAAGGCCAAATCCTAAGCATCACTGGCATTCAGCAGAGGTCCACCTGATCTCTTTCTCTGCTGCATGGCTATGCATCCCTGTCCATTCCAACTCATATGTGGGCAGGCAGCAGCCTGCCTCTGAACTCTGCTCAGCTCTATCTGTAACTCACCATCATCTGTAGGCACAGCTCACAAATTCTTGTCCAAATGCCATTAGTGCTCAGAAGTGATTTGTGCAGATTGAATATCCAGGTGGCACGAAGCAAAGATGCTAGCTGGCCAAAACATACTGTACTGCAACCACTTGACTTTACATCACTCAAAGAGATCTCATGATAAAAGTCACATTTATAGTTCGGGTTGGAAGGACCTTAAAGCTCATCCAGTTCCAACCCCTGCCACAGGCAGGGACACCTTCCACTAGAGCAGGTTGCTCCAAGGCCCTGTGTCCAGCCTGGCCTTGAACACTACCAAGGATGGGGCAGCCACAGCTTCTCTAGAAATGGCTGCCCTGGGTTTAATGTTCTGGCTTTCACATATCAAACTTTGAATCACCTAACATACATTTCCAGAAAAGAAGTTATTTCATCTGGGAATTGACCTAGAAAATTCAGCTGTCCTCCAGAGAACAACTGTGCCAAATTCAGAAATTAAATTCATTAAGTGTAAAAGAAGAAGCTTTAATTCTGCTTTAGGTGCAAAGCCTTTTTCAGATTTAAGTTTGGGAAAGAAACTTGCCAATCTAGCACTCCTAACTTAGGAGTTCTGGTAAATTCAGCCTCTTCTTTTCAACTAAGAGGTCAAAACAAGTAAAGAAAATCACACAGACTTAGGACTTCAGGTACTGTTAAGTCACACAACACGGGTCGGTCACCTCCAAACCCAAATACTTGCATTTCCTAGTGTGAGTTGTTTTCTAAGAAAATAATGTTTAATTTTGAAGGATGGCTACCTAAAATTTCTATGCAATTTGTGTTGATCTCACCTTTATCATCTTCCCTGTCAGGGAACAGCACTAAGTATTTGAAGGAAACTGAAACTACATCTCATTTTAAGAGACGTAATTCCTCTTTACTCCAATACATCAGTCCTTAACAGCAGGGCAATGTAATCCGCATGTATTACACAGCAGTGAGCAGGTAAATCACAGTAATCCCAGTGATACGTCACATCGTTAGGGGTGAAAAATTAAGTACCTTTTTTTGGGATCTCACACAAAAATCTATCAAGATCCAGTGTGAACTTTGCTTGGGGGCTGCTGCTTCACTTGGCGCATGACAGGGTCTTGCTCTCCTTGCACTACGGGCCGCAGAGATGCGGCTCTGGCCCACCACGGGGCAATGGCCCGGTAAACGGGTGTCACACGGCGCAGCTGGGGTCGGGGTCGCGGTCCCGGTCGGCGGCGGCGGGCAGGGCCCTGTCCCGCTCAGCCCCGCCGCTCCCTCAGGCGAGGCGCGCGCGGGCCGCCAACGGTCGCCCCTCTGAGGCGCCGCGCCCCCGCGCCGCTGTTGCTATGGCTCGACGGCGGGCGGCAGCCAATCAGCGGGCGGCAGGGTATATTTGTCGCTGTTGCTACCGCCGCGGCGGACCAATGGGGAGGAAGCAGGAAGGCGGGGCGAGGCCGCCATGGCGGTGCGGACCCGCAGCGCGGAGCGGTCACCCGGCCCCGGTGCTGCCCGTGCCCGAGGCTGGGTTCACCCGAGGCCGCTCTGTGGAAGGAAACAGACGTAAACGTGTGCATCACAACCCTTCCCAGCACCGCCGTTCTGAACACGGCCCCTCCCACAGCAAGAACACGGCGCTGCCGGGGGGCCCACCGGGGTAAAGCACGTGTCAGGGCCTCAGAGCACACAGGTGGAGCCCGGGCAGCCGGTGCTGGGGTTTTAATACATAATTAAAATACCGCGTGGGAATTACCACTTCGCACCCTCACCTTGAAAAATGCAGCCTGCAGAAACAGTCATTCAAAACCTTTATTTGCTAACGTTATTGCAACAGGTACTGGAGGCGTCCACTTCGTGTAGCTCAGGGCTGGAGTTTCAGTGAAGATTACCCCTTGTCCACTACAGATTTAAAACCCAGCAGTAACACTTAGGGAAAACAGCCCGAAGACAGCCCAGTGACTTGCAGGATTAAACTGCATCATGTGATGCTTCATGTCCTAATGCTCTCACACACAATTCTGCTTTGTAGCCTCTAAGAGAAAGGAAGGAAAACAGAGCTCCTGCTCCGTGAGCAACGTGAGGTGAAGGAGCGTAAGAGGTGCCTTGAGGCTGGGTGAAGTAAGGAAAGGAGCTGGGAGACAGGAACAGAGCAGCATGCACTCCCTGGGAGAGCCGCAGTTGAACAGCTCACCCCCGCCGAGTAAGCAGCCTCCAGCCTACACAGCATCAGCCCCACACTTACTACAGTGTGTAGGAAACTTGAGCCTGAACAACTCACGGTGCACTGCAGGGCCCTCGTCTGAACACGATGGCCACTGCCTGGTGCCAGAGACCGCCTGAGGGTCACACACTGGCCCTGGCAGTTTGTGTCCATTCGGATGTGGGCACTGACAATGGATCAAGAATTCAGCAGCTCCTACGTCTCCATTCATCCTTCTTTCCTGGGCAATCTGAGATACAGGTAGCATTAAACACTGACAACGCTGGTAGGCCCTGCCCCTACTGCAAGAACATTGACTTCAGCACTGATAATTCTGCCAGTTTGTGTCACCTGTGATACTCTGGAGTACTGAACGCTCCAGCAGTACCACCGAGATGCAGGGATGAGAAATAGCAGTATTTTACCAGCACTAAGCTGATACTTTACCTTCCAGGCCTGAGAAGAAGTTACCCAATACCCACTGCCAGGCAATAAAACTCAGTTTTACTCTTTCTGAGTACAGGAGCTTCATTTACCTTCATCATGTAATGAACGACTCTGATCTGACCAGTGCTATGGGTAGAAATACTTAACCGCCACAGAACCAGCGACTTGATATTTTTATCATCTGCAGTGCAGCTTCAGCCTGCTCTAGTCAAAACCTGCAGTCCACAATGCACCTTTCGTGCCTTCTATCCTTTGCAAAACTCTTAACCAAACTGTAACAAAACCAAACTTTGCAACCATTACAACAGACCTTCATTATCTTTCTACCTCACTCTCTGTTCATCTCCATGCCAAACCCCTCATTCATGCCAAAAAAAGTATGGGGAAAGGATGGGGTGTTTCGTAGGGAAGTGCAGACCACATTGAACATCTCTGCAGGCGGGTCACATTCGTCCACTGGCTGAGAATTCAAAGAGCAGCCACGCTGCCCAGAACGTGTCGTTGGTTAACGGGTTGCCAACCGGATCCTCCACGACCTGAAAGACATAAAAAGAAATCAAAGCTTCACCACATGTGATCCTTAATGATGGCGATGCCCTTGCTCAGGGTAGAAAAGCTCCTTTGGGCAGAAGGGAGGGAACGTGAGTGGTGAGGGCTGCACGCAGGAAGCAACAAAGTCTTTGTTCCGCTCTGAGATCAGATAGGGTAATCCATCTGTACAGGAGATGGTTATAAAGATGACAAGCACAATCAGTGCACAAATCAACTCTCAGAAATGCAGAGAAGAGCAATTCCCTTCCATTTGCCCAAGACACTGGCTCCTATAAAAGTAAGTAACTGACAGAGGGTAAGACCAGGATGAAATAAGGGAGTGATCACCTGAACAAGGGAGCTGCTTTCAGGGAAGGGAGGAAACAGATCCAAATTGCTTTTTTTGTTTTATTCTCATGTTGGCTCTGCTGGGATGCATCACCTATGAAACCAACTTGCAAGTCATGCATGGACAAAAGGAAGAGTACATCTGCACCCCTGTGATTCAGACATAGGACCCAAACACCTGCATATTCCTGCAAGAAGGCCAGAGCAAGCTGATTCAGCAAGACACAGAGTGCCTGGGAAGTCTGTAGAATGCTGTAAAATCACTTACCCACTCAAGCCCTTCCTCTTCCTGCAGCACACATTAAAACACATAAAAATTGCTTTTCTGAATTCCTCAAATTAAAAAAAAAGATCCAAAGATGTCCCCTTTCAACATCTGCAGGCATCACAGGGTGTTTTGCTCCCCAGCCCATAAGGCACTGAGTGCCATGTTTTTATACCACTGCAAAATCAGTGCAGGAATGCAAAGTAGCAAGATGAAAACTAGCTGTAGAGACTGCATGCTCTGGAAATGTCAGAAAAGGCTCATTCATTATTAATGCCCAAAGCTTTCCTACTCATCTGGCTCACATTATGGCTGGTAAAAAGGCCACTCTCCAAGATACAGATCTTTATATTGATGCTTTCAAAGGCTCGAAAGAGGTTCTGTTACTGCCCTCGGAGCTGCAGCCGCTTCCTGTAATGAGGCCAGCAGATACGGTCCCCTGCTTTTGAAAATCCTTTTAAGCAGCTCACAATGCAAGAGAAACAGAAATGGATGCTAACTGACTGGGAGACCAACACTCATGAGGCCAAAAAATAGCTCAAGGTACAGTTTAGATAAGGCTTTCTTGGGTCCTATTTTAAAGACTTTTAATTCAAAGATGTGCTCACATCCCCTTGAAAGCGCCAGATTTCTAACTTCTATTCTCTACGGCCTTAAAATCATCATGAGAAGGCATGCAGACTGCATCCAGACCCTGGAAGCAAGTTATCATGTCCTGTAATATACTGCTCCATACACTGTTATCAGCCATCTCGGAACAGTGCAAAATCCCTTTTCCTCATCAACCACAGTCTTAGAAATGGAAATTACATGAAAGACTTTAAGAGGTCTGATGAGAAGGCAGAGTCAAATTCTGCAGATCCCTGCAGAGCAGAGGGCCCTCAAGCAGCTCTCTTCCTATATCGTCTTCTTTCCACAGAGCTCTCCATTGCTCAAAACATAAACAGTACTTTGGATCTGTACAGGCTGCTTTAGCCATCATTTCAATGACACACTTGGTAAAATTAGCATCTGATAAGCAATTCAAGTGAAAAGACCAACAAAACCACCTCTCCTTCTAGCGTCTGCTGGATACTACCCCAGGGAATGCCCATCCTGCTCTGAACTGGATTCCAAAGGTATGCTTTGATCAAACACCTTTGATACTAAATATGATACTTCACATCTCCCTTGTGAGAGCTACAGCTAGATGGTGTGTACAGGCCTGAGCAGCTTTTGCTGAACATTAGGTGTGTTCTCTCACCTGGCTTTGTCCCAACGCTTGGCTTTCTTCCATGCAGGGTGCAGAAACAGGTGGACACTGAGGCTTGCCAAACACAGAGTGACAGTAACTACAAGAAAATACAATATACAAATGCATTTGTATTTATGCCCAACTCAGCACCTACTGTAATGCTTTGCAGCAGGACAAGAGGGGCTGCTGGCAAGACCATTCAGTCAACAAAGTTCTATTAAACTGCCTGTAAAACTGCTCCATTTCTCAAAATTGTTACAGCCTGAAAATAGAGATTCTGCACGGGGAAGACTAGCCTGACCAGGAGCAGCACACAGGAATGACCTTCTTTTTGCCCCCAGAATGCCCCATAAACAAGGAGATGTCTACCAAAACATCTCTCTCCTGAAACATATTTTAAAAACACAGACCTTAAGAGTCAAAACAGGCAAACATTTAGCTTTAGACACAGCCACAACATTGGCTACCATTCTACAATAGCTTTTCAAGGCTGCCAGTGTGAGGACATGGCTTCCCCATCCACAAGTCCCCTGGGGCATTGCCAACCTCTCAGAAGAGGTCACAGTCTGCGGGCACTGGATCAAGTGGGAGACACTGGGTACTTGACAAAGGGATGTCCTCTCTGTTCATCACCAACTCAAAAGAATCTATAATTCCAACATCACTGCCCCCACCACTCCCAGGTATAGCCCAGGGTATGAAAGGCCATATAGGCCTAGACCAAAAGGTGCCAAGTAACAGAGCATAGGGAAAAAGCAGAAGAAACAAGGTAAGGGTCAACTTGCCATTCCTTGGAATGCACCGAAGGTTCCAGCAAGCAGTCTTGGGACTCCTCTGCTGGAGGCTGCATTTTGGCGATGCCATTTACTAATGACAAATGGACTCAAGCCCTTGCCCCCTCTTTCCCCCACCAAGAATGTCTGATCTCTTTTCGCAGCCCACTTACACTGACATGCACAATGCCCTTAGCAACAAGTTCTGTGATTTAATTATGCAACATGCCAAAAAGTAGCCTCCTTTTATGCTTTTTGAGCTTGCTGCCTGCCAGTGTCGGGGTGCTGGGTTATCCAGAGGGGAGAGCCTAACAGCAAGAGGATTCCTAGCACTCGGAGCTGGAATCCCAAAAATGCAGGCAGAGGCAGTCAGCTGCAATGAGCACCTCAGCAGTGATTTTCTAAATCAATATGCTGGCTCATAAATGCAGGCTGTCTTGCTCCATAGAGTTCAGTGTGCTTTTCTGTTTGAAATGGAAGGCATGAGAGAGTTATATTTTGCATGAATCATTAGCTGGACTACATTCCACCTGTCCCAACTCAAGGAGCGAAGAGGATACAACACCACTATCTGTAAAGGCAAGCATCTGTTTGATGTCCCATAGGGACTTCCAGTTCGCTTGCTGGATCAGACTCCCGTCAGGCAGCAGGAGCAGATGGAAACAGTCAGCTTCCAGCCTGGTTCCCCCTCACACTCCCACCTCACAGCCCTGTAGATCATAAGAGGCTTGGATACAGCCCAAGTGCGTAGGACCAACAGTAAAGAGCCCATGAAAGAAATCATCAGGAATTGTTCTAATGAGCTTTCAGGCCAAGTCCTTTCCAGGTGAGCACCTCTGAAAATGAGACAGGCAGATGAAGGGTCCTTGTGCTGACTTGTAGCTCTACCCCTGCACTTAAGAAGCAGGGAGCCAGAAGTGTTGGCAGGGCAGTGAGAGCACAACACTGAGGCCAACCCCCTTGGGTGACCTTGGCTAAATAATTTCCTTTTCTGTGCTTTACTCTTGTCTGTAAACAGAGGTAACTTCACTGCCCTGTCTTTCCAGGATAGCAACACTCACTTGCCTTACAGTTTAAGCTCTTGCCTGATTCATGAGTCCCCACATGAGTGATGCTCCTTACAACATTATTGCTAAAGAGGACTCTGGTGACACAATACTTTCTCTCTTATCAGTAACTCTGTTAGAGGCCTCTGCCTGATAACAAAGGTGATCCTTATTCACTGAGCCTTCTTCTTACTTAAGACTACCCACATGAGGTCTCCTGGCTCTTTGGAGAGAAACTGCGAAAGAGCCTAGATGAGACTGCAGCCTAGGCATCACTCATTTCCAAAGAGATCAGTGTTCCTTAGCATTCACAGTGTTCTGGGGAGTTAAAGGCTTTCTGGTTCAAGCTGGACCAGGCCACTAAACGGGGTTTATGAATAAGAGTTCAAATAACTATATCCTCCCCAGAAGGTGTCAATGAAGCAGCAAGTCCTGCCCCTGACAGGAATACGATAAAGGGTGTGTAGGTTCCTGGCACAACTGACATAACCCAACAAGGAGACATTCACCATAGATTTCTTCTGCTGGTGGAACAGATTTTAAAAATAAACATGAGCTCACTCTGGAGTCAGAACATGCAATTTTAAATCCAGCCAGAGCAGTGCCAGCAAGCCTCACTGGTCCTTTATGATCTGTAGCCACTCTTTGAAACTGCAAATCCTAGAACACGTACTGAGGTGGGTTTACAATGCCCTGACCTGGATTGTCAGTTCAGAGCGAGGAGCCTGACATGAACATGAACATCAAGCCAACCGGGAAACAGAGGTAAAAGGCAGAAATTATTTCAGCAGGGAACTGGGAGGCAAAACCCCACTGATCTTTATCTCCAGTGAATCACTGCCTTCCCTGGTTGCTTGACAAAACCTCTCTGCGCCTCTGCTTCCTCATCTTTAAAGTGAATAAAAGGAATAAAACTGCTTCTACCTACCTCTCGACATATTACTGACAGCATCATGCTAGCACAAATGCTGGACAGTGTCAAGGCAGAAGGGTTGTGAAATGGAGCTACTGCTCCTGCTGTGCCTTTCAGATCAGTAAACTAAAGGAACCTCGTCATGTCTGTTTGGCAGTGTTTATTTTTATGTAACTTATGGGGGTTGTGTAACATATGGAAGATGGCACGGATTGCTGCTGGTTTGCACTCTCTGAATTTATCTCAAGTCCCAGAGAAAACCTACATTTATTAATAAAACATTTATTACAGGTGGAAAACAAAAAGACAGAATAGTGCATGTCTTTCTGTCTTCCAGTTTGGAAAGCCTGCACTATGGAATAATCTGGTCATGAGGTTATGAAGCTACAAACACTATTTTAGGATTAAGTATGGGCCCTACCAACCCAGCCCACAGAATCAGCTCTCACTGAATCACTATAACTTATGATTTTCTGCCAAAAAGAAAAACAGTCAAACAGCTTAGAAACTAAACCTGCTTTAAAGAGAGGGGTTCATTTATTTTCTGATCAGGCTGGTCTCAGATCTCCCTTGTGCCACCACCATAAGCCACATATACACTTATACAGCATTTCCCATTTCCAGTGCACAGGTAGAAGTATCTGCAAAACATGATAGACACAAGGAGAGCCAAGCCCCTGAAATGAGATGCATCACCACACTCTTTCTACAACCTTCTTCAACAGGGGGATGAGGACAAGGCTAACCCCATAGCATCACTGTCACTCCTGCCTGTAAGAAGCCCTGTGCTTTCCATTCCCTTTACCTGTGGGGAAGAACAGACTCCAGGGTCCCTAGCTGTCCTTCTCTAAGGATGAAGCTTTCAAGCTCTAAATCTGACTGCTGAATGATTCTTCCTGAACTGGCCTCAATACAGCCACCTTGAGGGACTCTGCTCAAGGGAGCTCTGATACCTGCTGAAATAAATGTTCACATTAAAGACAGTTACAGAAAACATGACCCCAGCCTCTGACCCATCTATTCGTCCTCTCCTTGCTCTACATTCACAAGGGTTGGGTGAATGGCAGTCACAGCGGTTTTTGTTCTGCAGACCTACAGCAAAAGCAGGTGGACATCACTTACATATCCTGCAAAGGCTATTGTTAAAAACAGAAGAGATGGTGGGAATGCTGAACAAGACCAGGCAGGAAGGAAACAGAGAGGGAGAGAGAAAGAATAAGAGGAAGGAGAAGGGAAAGTGAGAATGTGTTGCTGAAGATGCTCACTCTGTCACAGTTAAGAAGTTCCCAGCCTGTGCTCAGGCAAGCTCTTGAGAAAAACCCAGAAGCTTGAAAACTGACAAGGTGAGCAAACACCTGAAGGGACTCTTGCAGTGGAAATGCTAAAAGGAATCCACCTTGCTGGAAAAATACTATCTTATGGAGACAGTTACAATTTAGGCAAAAGAGTAGGTAAGAATGTCTGTTTCAACACCTTAAACCGATGGGTTTTCTCACAGATACTATGGGAGCAGAACTGCAGAGCTCAAGTAAGCCCTGCTCCCATTTGTCATGACACTGGAAACCCACGTAAGTGAGCAAGAGTGTTTACAGCAAAGGGAAGAGAAGCTTGAAAGCTCTCAAGGTCAATGATCTGGGTGCAGTTTTACTAACCTTCTATACTTGGGGTCCACATAGAGCCAGAGACTCCTCCGGTGCTGCAAGGGGCCTGCCACATGGCCAGCCGTTCATCTGGGAAGGTAAGGGATCCACAGGGGCACAGGACAAAGTTACCCAGCTGGGGGTTGGTATCAGCACTGCTTGCTGCTTCTCTGGCTTGCAGGACAGCAGGGTTAAAGCAGGTTCCTGGTTCCAGCATAGCCTCAGGGCAAAATGATACAGTTTGTTCAGTGCTGTGGGTGGTCAAGAAAGCCTTGTTTGTCCTCGCTTCATACAGCTCACTGCTCGGCATAAAGCTGTAATGGTGGAGAAAATGAATTAGCCAAACATACTGCTTTGCAAAGAGAGGCACCCACCAGCTAAACCTTTGAATCCTGCCCTTGATAGCTGGGAAGTTAACTGCTAGATGCTCTGACTGCCTGATGCTCAGCATGGACCATTCCCCATATATGGAGTCAAGACTCCTAAGTTATGTCTCCTGGGAACTGACATGAAAGTCAGTTCCATTAACAGCTTTAAAGGTTGCTTCATCTCTGAACTGTCACTGTGAAGGCTTTTTCATACATCACCTGGATTCCAGCATCTTTAAATATGTTCCCTCAGGAGGCTTATCCAGATCTGCAGCTGACTGGTCCCACCCTGGGTCACAGGTCATGAGAGTTCTCTCCATTTGCTCAGAGCCGATGCCTACATAAGGTCCATCTGAAAGGTGTGGGCCAGGCAGGTGAAGGAACACCAATAGTTACTCCAGAAAACAATGAAACAAGTCTAATTTGCCAAATGCAGCAAGACCCTCTTATACTTCCTGACTGATATTTGGTCAAGATTCTGTGAAGGGGCATGGCAATACTGGGTTTTACTGGACTACATCCCTGATCCCAGGATCTGAGCACTAAAACCTGCTGCCTTGCAGGTACTTGCTGTCAGTGCCCCTTCTGAGGTGGGCATCTCCGTTAGCCTGTCCTTGCACAGGCCCTATCAATGTTTGCTTCTTCTATGAGTGACAGCCTCTAGACAAACAATGAGGCACTCCACTGAAGAAGATCTCTTCCATGTCCACTTGATCCATCAGCATATAGATGCTGTTCTGGAAAAGGAATACCCTTCCTTTCCTGAGGGAATTTAAAGCAGGTTTTCAGCTTTCTGGATCACATCCTAAGCCCATTAGCAAGAAACAAACCTGCAGTCTGTGGAGCATAGAATCCTCTGTCCTGCTGCTGCACTGTGGGATAAGCCAGAGCCCTCTCAGGACATGAGTTGTTTTGCTTTTCCGTACGAGGGAGGCCAGATTTTTGACGCCGTCGGTAATTTGCAAACCAGTTGTAGACCTGAGTTGGCTGCAGGTTCATGTCCCGAGCCAGTCCCTCCTGCAAACCCATGTGCAGGGGAGATCAATGGAAAAAGAACAAACCGCATCCAAATAATCAGGCTTTCTTTTTTTTTCCAGTTCCAAAAGCAACAGAGCAAAAGAGCCTTAAACCCAGAGACATTTGATCACTAAGGCTCTGACAAGTGGATCCCATTGAGGAGACTGATTTGTAAACTCAAAAGAGTTGTTGGAACACATACATTCCCCCCTGCTCCCCTACTCAATTTGTCTGCTAAGAAATAACCAACACAACCAAAACAGCCCCATCTACTGCTATTTTATATTGCTATATTTGAATGGAAAACCTGACCGAAGCATGCTCTTCCCACAGAATGACAGCTTTGCATCACTACCGTGACACTAACAGGATGAACACTAATGTGTTTACCACGTTACAGAGTTTTCACAAACTGTAAGCAGCATAAACATCTGTATCACATTCACAGAAAAATGTCTGCTGTATGAAACTGCTAAAGAATGAGATCACATAAGTGAAGAACGTATTGGGAAATTAATGCATAAGTGATCATTGTATCCTGACCTTTTAGGACTTAACCGTGCAACCTCATTATGCTCCCAAACCAGATTGCGGGGGGCTTTTTTAATGAACATTTCGAAGTTGTTGCTGCTTTGTGAAATAAAGCAACTCCACGCTGCAGAGCTGTTCCCCAAGCCATCCTGCCTTATGCGAGAAGGGTGCTGGAAAAATTGAGCACCGCAGAGACAGACTTGACAGTCTGAAGCCTTCACCTTGCGAGGGAGTAATCAACAAGGATTACTGAATTAATTCACATGTCACTTCCATTACAGATTTATCCTTGTTCAAATAAGGAAGACAGAGGCAGACATGAACACAACTTATCACGTTTTCAAATTCTGTGAATTTAATGTGATAAGGCAGTATAAAATATATTCTGGTAAGCAAAAAGCAATTTAATACAGGCTATAACTCACTCAAGTCAGAACTATTTATCACTCTGATACAGCTCTTCTGAGTGATGGCTGTTTTGCTGCCTATGCTGAACCACTACCAAATTAGAACTGTTAGAAGCTTAGTGAGGAACTTTATATCTCCTGATCATTTTGTCCAAAGCAAGTGAGATTACTTAGCATGAACCCAGTGATTCTTCTAAGGAAACCTTCAGGAAAAGATCAAGTCTGGGGAATCCCAGCCCCACTGGGGCTTTAGAAAACAGGGATTTAGAATGAAATCAGTTCTAGACCCCTGATCACAGAGTTCTGCTTCTCTGTGACAAGGAGACTTGGTTAGAAGTAGCATATCCCTACCCGCTGTTTCTTGTTTGGATTTGTTGTCACCTCTGCAGCAAACCTGTGCAGTCGCTGGCGCACTTCATCTGAATGGTTTCGATTCTTCAAACCTTCAGGACAAAGGGAAATAGGTGGAGGATTCCTGTACACAGGAGAAAACAGGATTAAAAAATAACCCCAGAAGTCTCGTTCACATTGCCACAAGTGGTCAAACCGTCAAGAACCACCTAGCTCTGAGAAGCAGCATCCTGAGGTGCAAAACCAGCCTCTGCATTCCTATGCCCTGCATCTACCAGATGCAGCAAAGAAAAATGAATCTGTTCCCCCACACCATGGTACCTCTTCCTGCAACGGAACTTCTGCAGCGGTGTCAGAAAATCTGTGTGATGTTGCTCCATTACCCTCCGGTAGTGAATCTCATGCCAAAGTTGCACCAGCTTCTCCTTCTGTTCTGCCTTGCTATACTAAAACCAAAACAGCATGTAAGCAAACTCTCTCCAGGTAGTCAGCCAGGCTTCCTGTAAAGGAGAAAACCCTCAACAGCCAGAAACTTACTCAGAGGTTCCTACTAGCCTGACAAAGCTGGTAGCATTATCCAAGTCTATGGCTCCCTGAATTTCCTCTAATGTACAGAAGGAGTTGCCTAATTCCCCTTTTCCCTGGTGAAAAGGGCTACATTACCAGATCTTGAGGCCAAAATTCCTCCCCTTGAGTGGTACCATCCAGCCTTCCTCATTATCTTCCCATCCTGGATGCCCTCTAGACCTGGCTTCCCCAAGGCTTTTACATCCTGAGCCCTAAATTTGTGAAAAACTCGAAGAACCATCCCTTTAGAGAACAAAAATCCTGCTTTCACAAACTACAGCCAACCCCATAATCACCCAGTTACATTCTGCCCCTTGGCTGATTAATAGTAACTGCCTGTAGCAGTTTTTATCTTGCATTTCAGGTCAACCAAAGCACACCTATCACCTTCTGCTGCCGAATGCCAGCTGGAAACACTCCATGTCCTGCTCTTTGGATACTTCTGCACTAACAGCTCTAACTGCTGTTTTTCTAATACTGCTTTTGCCTGCATGAAGAAACAAAGAACAGTTCCCTACCTCCAGCAGTCTGCAGGCTGTGTCATGCTGCCCTTTCTGGATATGAACAAACACGCAAGCTTGGACAACATGGATGTTAGTGAGAAAATACATCTTGTGCTTGCATCCCATCATGGCCCCAACCAGCTTCTCCAGACTAGGAAATGAGCTCTGGAGATCCTGGCAAAGCTGTCCTGCTAGATCCAGCAGCTTGGCAGGCGGGGGATCCTTGTTTTTATTCCTGTTTAACATGGCCATGAACCGCTTCATCCTTATGTCCTGTTGAAAGACTTTTCTATGCAATGCACAAAGTTGTGAGTTGTGGTTAGATAAAAACTATTATCTCCCATTTTTACCTTCCATGGTATGCTTGGGGTTTTTGTTTTAATAAAGGGAAGAAATTCACTGTGGTGTTAAAAGCAGCCTGGGGATCTCAGAACACTCACAACTAGGCCTAAAGCAGCCTGAAAGGCTAAAGCCACCCCAGGCTTGTGGCTGAGAAAACCGAGCTCAGAAAGACACATCAAACTCGCCCCAAAACTCGGTGGCTGAAGGAGGAACTGCACACAGGGGTGGGCCCAGCCGTTCCCGCTTGAGTCCCCGAGTGGCTGGGAACACCGGCGGTGCTGCAGAAGTGCCAGCATTGGCCATGCGGCTCAGAGCCCAAACCTCCATACCCAGCTCCCCACGGGAACAGGTTAAAAACTACCAGAGCACAAAGTCTAGAGACACTCGAGTGAAATTAATGAGCTTTCTCCTCCAAAATGGCACGGGACAAGGACAGGGGGAGGCGGCAGTTACAGCAAAGCGTGACTCCAATGGGTGCCGGAGCTGGTGTTTGCCCGGGGAAAGGATGCCTGTGCCCACCGGGTCCCCTCGGGCACTCCCAACCCCTGGACCGCTCCAGCCCCGCCGGACAGAAGGAGGAAAAGCTGGTAGATACCTGCGAGGTTGAGGAGCGGGTTCACCCCGGCAGCCCCGTCCCGTTCTGGCCCGTCCCGAGGCAGCGGCCGCGCCAGAGTCCACCCGGTCCCGGTCCTCCGGTGCCCGGAGGAGAGCGGCGGGGCGCGGGTAGGCCTCCCCCTGCCTCCCTCCCTCCTCCCGCCCCGCGGGATCCAGCCCAGCCCCGCCGGGCCCCCACCTTGGGTGCCGCTGCCCAGCGGGGGGCGCGGAGCTGCTCCCGCCCCGCCCGGCTGCTCCACACGCTGCTGCGGCCACCTGCACCGCAGAACCGAGCGGAGAGGGCAGCAAAGGGGTTTTGTAGTGGAGAGTACGTGTTAAGATGCTAATGGGGCTCAGACATGCACTGCTACCCACCTTCTCCAGGAGGGTACTGCCTAACAGCGCAGCAGTCACCCAGACTCAGTGTAGGGGGTAAAACTGAAGCAGCTACGATTTGTCCTTCAGTCAGGTCCGAACACCGGTGTATGCCCGCCCTCTGCTGACCTCAGCGTACCGAGGACAGGTAACAACACTGAGGATCTCAGAGCGAGTCAACAGCCCCAGTGCATAGCGCTACCAGGGGCCGGATGTGAACCCACCCTTAACCCGCACTTCAGTAACCAGCTCGTGCCAAGTCCATGTGCCGTACCTGACCTTGCTCTGCAAAGACAAAGGCTACATACTGGAGTGGAGGCATCTTCCTTTTGCTACATGCAGATACATCCTAAAAGTCTGCTCAGAATCCTTTTTGTTACTCCCATCAGCAGCATCTTGTGTTCAATTGTCCGTGATTTCTCCTTACACTTGGAAGCTGGCCATGCGCGACAGTAACTGCCTTCTTGCTCCTGCTGCATGACACTGTTCTAGATCCACAGCTGGAGGCAGAAAGTCCAGATACTGCTGAACTCTGAGCATTCCACTGCCATGCTGGAGATAAGCAGCAGTATTTCCTTTTGGCAGTTATTCTCCTCCACTCCCTGATTTTGTACTGCTGTCTGCAGTTAAAACAAAACACCATGTCACTCGATTTTCTGCATTTTTACTTATTTACACGTATGAAACTTAACAAGCGTCTCTCACATTTTATCTTACATATTCACACAATCAGGTACACCTCAAAAGGGAAAGAGGCAGGCTGCTGCCAGGCACATCAGATACCAATCACTTCCAACGACGGTAAGCTACTACCATCACACTGGGCTGAATCTGAGCGCCCTTGAAAACCGTTTGCACTCTCCTTCCTTTACCTCTGCTCTAACACAAATTTTGGCAATCAAGGACTGCAGCTACTTGAAACCAAGCTGAGGTCAGGTGATAGATATTGGCAAGCCAACAGCTCAGATTCTTTTTCCAAGGGCTTAATCAAGTTCTGTTGAATATCAACAGCAATATTGATCAGGTCCTCTTGGAGCCTCAAGATGAATCTAACAGAGGCTCTTTTCCAGTCATCCTTCACCTTTACTTCCTTGCCACAAGGTAAAACTTCTAGCTGTCTCCCTAAGAGATACACCCCTATTTCACGGAGCACTTGCATGCATCTTATCCAGACAATCAGTCCAGAACAGAACAAGCCGGCTGTCTTTGTTCCAGCAGAAGTCTGTGAAGTCTTTCAGCAACCGGTCAGCAAACTTCTCATCCCCGGTGGCACTGGAGCGCCACGTTTTCGTCAGCATGGTGTTGTAGGCCCAGTTGTAGCCGATGCGCTCCTCACAAAACATGTTCTGGTTGGTGGAGCTCGTGGAGTTGCGCCGGCGACGCTGCTGCCCACAAGAAAACTTCCGCTTGGAATATGGGAGCTGCAAAAACACTGTCCCTAGGGGAAACAGACAGGACTTTACTCTTAAGCACCTTGTAGCTGAACTAAGTGTCGTTTAATTGCCTCTTAGCAAGAGAAAATGGGATACGCTTCTCCTCCTTTGCTTTTACGTGCTACTTCTTCCTGCAATTTACAACGCAGAGAGCACACTTGTTCTTGCCTTTCTCCTGGTAGACGGGAATGAAGCAAAGATGCAGGCTCCAATCCATTTTCTAACTTTACATCAATTTCCATCTCTCCTGCAATTTTCCAAAAGGTCTCTTCCCATCATTGTTTTCATGCATCAGCAACCCCTCTGAAAACACTGTTGTTTTACTGTAATATGCCATGCATGAAGCTTAGTTAGAAGTGCTGATAGATCAACATTTATGAAGAACAATAATGAAAGCAAATGCTTTCTCTATCTCCCCCCCAGTATACATTAGTAGAGATGCATATACAACTGAACTTAAGCATGAGAACAGAGCACTGACTTGTCCCAACACCTTTCCCTCCTTCCAGCTTCTAGATACCCATTTATTTACACTGCACTTGGAACAAGTTTTGCCTTTTTTATTTTTCCATCTCCTGGAAAGAAATGCTTCAGAGACACTATAAAGCAAGACTTCAACGCCACTGATGAGCAGCAACACCTTGCACTTTCCACATTGCCTCTCTGGTTTGATCTGGCTGATACACCTACTTGTCATGTGACCAGGGACATAATGAGGACCAAATCACTAGCATAAAACACAAACTGCATGTAAAATGGTTCTTCTGTTTATAACAGCCTCCTCCTTACCCCAGTGACTGCCAAACATTGCTCACCTGTGACATGGATATACTGGGGCTTGTTCTCAGCTGGGAAGTTGAATGCAGAGGCCGAGTATTTATCTTGCACAAATCCAAATCTGGAGAACAAACACCAGGAGAATGAAAAAGAAATATTTCATATATATATACACACACACACATATATAGATATGTAAAAGAGTCACTCCAGCTAGGATTCCTTCAGCCCAAGGTAGGGTCAACCTTCCCCTGTCACTTATGGCCCCTTTTCTTATGGCCTGAAGGCAAGGGGAAAAGGGATGAAGAGAGCTGGGCTTCTCCAAACACCCTCCACCCTGCCAGGCACTGTGTGAAAGCCTGTAACTGCACACTGATCTCTGTTCTAACTCATGCCGGAAGCAAGAGCACCAGTAGCTCAGTCTGGGAGCTCTGATGAAACAGGGCAGCTGCACATGGATGAGGGAACAGTGATAGCCAAGACTGACATTCCTTGGGCATGTTTCAAGCTGTAACATCATTTTCTTCCGTGCCAGGCAATATTCCATGCAGAACTTCAAGCAGCTCACCTGATCGTTCTCTGCTGTTTGTAGAATACCTGTTCCTCTCCTGCTTTCTAAGCTAATGAAAGCTTATTTCCAAGCTAAAGTCCATTACAAAAGGCAGTTTCTCTGTCATGAAAAAGACCTTGGCAGCAATAACATGATACAAACTAGCAGCTCAAGCACACAAAGGGGGCTAAGCTCCTGCTCGTGCTGCATGACAGTTCTAGATCTTCAGCTGGAGGCAGAAAGTTCTGGATACTGCTGAACTTTGAGCATTCCATTATCACGCTAGACATAAGCAGCCGTATTTCCTTTCAGCAACTGTTCTCCTTCTAAGTTTCCAACAATTCCTTCTTAAACCAGGCAAAACCTCCTGGTATCCAGCTCACATCCCAGTCTCCTGCCTATTGTCAATCATTGGTTGTCATCCAAATCAAGACTGGGTAAGTACACATGAAGGAAGTAACTATCCCTTCTCAGAAAGGAATCTATTTACAGACTGTCTGCTTCTAACTTAAAATAACAGGGCACCTTCCAAAGGCAATGCCCTCCCTACAAGGAGAGTATGGTTTACTAATGAGTGACAGGCTGAAACACTATCTACCTGCCCCTTGCACCCACAGAGCCACCTCCAGGCATTCTAGTTATATTTTTGTCAAATAACCTGCAAGCAGACTTCAGAGAGGCAGACAGCACAGAACCCACACGACTCAGGAGTGACAGCTCAGCAGAGATCTTCCCCCTGCATCATCCAGGGAGACAGGAACCTTTCAGTCACTCTGCTCTCTACATACCTGTGTGCTATTGCTTCCTGAAGGAGGTGCATACGGTCCCAGTATGTTTCTGGTTCAAAGCCTAAAACAAACAGAAGGTCACAATTGCCCAGTAAAGCTGCTTTATTTCCTTCAAGACCACAGTTTATCTCAGAAGACCTGTTTTTAATAATCATTTCTTTTAGTCACTTGTTTTCCTGTCAGCTGTCCCTTGAACACCATCCTATTAGAGACATGTCTTGCACACTCCAGTAGCAGATTCATGCCTGAATTTAGCTTTTCATTTAGCTCCTGAGATGAAGGGGAACAACATAATGGGGTGTGTGGGAGGGGGCAAGGAGGGGGAGCAGGCTGCTGTGTGCCACCATGAAGTGCTCTGAAAATAATCGTTCAAAGTCAGTGGGGTTATGGTGATCTCACAGCACATGGCTCTGTCACTGACTGATTTACACTGACAAGACACCTGTAACCCTGGGCACTGGGTTAATGAAAATAAACTATCATCTTTACTATTTTAAAACAGAGCCTTTTCCCAACTGTCCCTTCTCACGATGCACTTTTGCCCCTCTCTGCATGGGGATAGAGCTTTCTGATCTCTGAGCTTCCACCTGACCAGAACAGCATCACTCAAAAGAGGCAAAGTCACATTGCAGAAAAAGAGACTGCAGTTTCTAGCTCTTAATCTCATGTGCAAACACTCTTACCACGAATGTAACCATAGCAACAACAACAAAAACCCAGGAGGATGGAAGTCGTGAAAGCCTAATCTCACTGAAGGGAGAACAAACAAATGCTGGGTACAATTGCAGAGCAGCTGTGGGCAGGGTCTACCAGCAAAACAGACTCTTACAATGTGACATCCTGTCAAATAGAACAACTGCTTGGTTGATTATCATTACTCTATAATGATATGCAACATTATGGCAACAAAGATCAGTGGGGAGACAACCTTTCCTGTGCTTTGGTACTTCTTGCTGCCAACTTCATACACTGTTGCATGCTGATGAGCCTGTCACTACAGCTTCCCCCAAGTGCCACCCTTCCTGAGGGTGGCTGCTGAAATGCATGTCTAGTAAATGAGGTTCTTCATGTCAGCTGCATGCCAGAAGGGACCTGCTTGCAGAAAAGTGTAAAGAGGCAAAACAAAGAACACTTCTTACCGTCAAACAAATGCTCGCTGCCCTCTTTCAACAAGCAGCTCACATTGAGTGGGATGAACAACTGAGCTCGAAGTGGGTCTCCATATAAGTAACTGGGCAAAGCAAATGGTCCTTCCAAGACTGGAACTAGCAAGAAACCACAGGATGTGGCTTTGCGATGCCAACCCTGAACCTGAGAAGAGATTGAAGCAAGAAATTATGTGACATGTGTCAAACTGAAGAAGAGCACTTATGGGCATAGGACCAACTCATTTCCCAAGAAGAGATCAGACATGCTCAATTCTCCACAGGCTCCGCTTCCTTTGTATGGCAAGCACACAAGCATCCTTGTAGGTAAAGCAGTACAAGCACAAGCCATCAGGCTTTCTTGTTTGAAGTGCCACATCAATCACAAAGCACTTTAAAATAGGACATTTTTCAGGAACTGATTCAGCCTACATACCATCAGCGGCTAAGCACTGCTGCTTTACTGGAACAGCGCAATAGACTTTAAATAGAAGCAAAACCAATCCCCTAGTGCTGGCTGGCTGGGTGGGGTGAAACCTGGTGTTAAATAATATGGGGTTTACAGAAGCGACAAAGGGGAAAATGAACAAAATCTAAAAATTAAGAAGTGACACAAGCCACTTGCATTTCCAGTTCCAAATGTCTTCAGCTAGTTCAACAGCATTGCTGAACTGGAAGAACACACTCCCTGGAAAAGCCCTCTCACAAAAGCAGTTCCACTAAGACTTACAGTTCTCAGGTTTGGGGATAGAAGGAATGCAATGTGAAATGCATTCTTTTTCCAAATGTCCAGCTTGATGCTTAAGATTTGCCTAAAGAGGACTCAAATTC